TAATACAGCTGACAGTTGACTGTGGAATATTTAGGAGCGAGGAAATTTCACGACTGGATTTGTTGCACAGGTGGCATCCTATCACAGTTCCACGCTGGAATTCACTGAGCTCCTGAGAGCGACCCATTCTTTCACAAATGTTTGTAAAAACAGTCTGCATGCCTAGGTGCTTGAATTTATACACCTGTGGCCATGGAAGTGATTGGAACACCTGATTCCAATAATTTGGATGGGTGAGCAAATACTTTTGGCAATATAGTGTATATATATATATATATATATATATATATATATATATATATATATATATATATATATATATATATATATATATATATATATATATAGGTGAATCTGACATTGCATGCTCACAATTCATGTCTTTTCTGAATCTTCTACACACATAATTGTCGAACTTGTAACCACTGTCAGTGTTTAGACGCTCAAGCTGCCCATTGCTGGCAAGTTGTGATTTTTCACCAAAGGACTGTGGTTTCTGGTGAAAGGTCAGGAACCAGTTCTCTCTCCAAAGAATCTGAGTAACCCACTGGTGACATTAAGATGATCAGTGTGATGTACAGGTGCTGGTCATAAAATTAGAATATCATGAAAAAGTAGATTGATTTCAGTAATTCCATTTAAAAAGTGAAACTTGTATATTTTATTCATACATTACATACAAACTCATATATTTCAGATGTTTATTTTGTTTAATTTTGATGATTACAAATGACAACAAATGAAAATCTCAAATTCATCATATCAGAAAATTAGAATATTGTGAAAAGGTTCAAAATTGATGGCCCCTGGTGCCACACTCTAATCAGCTAATTAACTCAAACCACCTGCAAAAGCCTTTAAATGGTCTTTCAGTCTAGTTCTATAGGCTACACAATCATGGGGAAGACTGCTGACTTGACAGTTGTCCAAAAGACGACCATCGACACCTTGCACAAGGAGGGCAAGACACAAAAGGTCATCGCTAAAGAGGCTGGCTGTTCACAGAGCTCAGTGTCCAAGCACATTAATAGAGAGGCGAAGGGAAGGAAAAGATGTGGTCGAAAAAAGTGTACAAGCAAGAGAGATAACCGCACCCTGGAGAGGATTGTGAAACAAAACCCCTTCAAAAATGTGGGGGAGATTCACAAAGAGTGGACTGCAGCTGGAGTGAGTGCTTCAAGAACCACCACACACAGACGTATGAAAGACATGGGTTTCTGCTGTCGCATTCCTTGTGTCAAGCCACTCTTGAACCACAGACAGCGTCAGAAGCGTCTTGCCTGGGCTAAAGAGAAACAGGACTGGACTGCTGGTGAGTGGTCCAAAGTCATGTTCTCTGATGAAAGTAAATTTTGCATTTCCTTTGGAAATCAAGGTCCCAGAGTCTGGAGGAAAAGAAGAGAGGCACTTCATCCACGTTGCTTGAAGTCCAGTGTAAAGTTTCCACAGTCAGTGATGGTTTGGGGTGCCATGTCATCTGCTGGTGTTGGTCCATTGTGTTTTCTGAGGTCCAGGGTCAACGCAGCCACATACCAGGAAGTTTTAGAGCACTTCATGCTTCCTGCAGCTGACCAACTTTTTGGAGATGCAGATTTCATTTTCCAACAGGACTTGGCACCTGCACACAGTGCCAAAGCTACCAGTACCTGGTTGAAGGACCATGGTATCCCTGTTCTTAATTGGCCAGCAAACTCTCCTGACCTTAACCCCATAGAAAATCTATGGGGTATTGTGAAGAAGAAGATGCAATACACCAGACCCAACAATTCAGAAGAGCTAAAAGCCACTATTAGAGCAACCTGGGCTATCATAACACCTGAGCAGTGCCACAGACTGATCGACTCCATGCCACGCCGCATTGCTGCAGTAATACAGGCCAAAGGAGGCCCAACTAAATACTGAGTGCTGTACATGCTCATACTTTTCATGTTCATACTTTTCAGTTGGCCAACATTTCTATAAATCCTTTGTTTTTATTGGTCTTCAGTAATATTCTAATTTTATGATATGATGAATTTGAGATTTTCATTTGTTGTCATTTGTAATCATCAAAATTAAACAAAATAAACATCTGAAATATATGAGTTTGTATGTAATGTATGAATATAATATACAAGTTTCACTTTTTAAATGGAATTACTGAAATCAATCTACTTTTTCATGATATTCTAATTTTATGACCAGCACCTGTATGTATGTATTCTGCAGTCTCTGGTGCCCTCTGCAGGCCACAGATGGAATGAGGCAAGTATGTAACCTCAGTGATGTTAGCAAATACAGTTGCTTTGCTGAATGTGTCACTAGAGTGCATGTCAGAGCCTGGTTTGTAAATGACATTGAGATTATAACTCTGAGAGGCATCTACTGTCGCCGTTGGGGTGCACTCAGGAGTGGCTTGTTGAAAAATAGTGATTAGTTCCTCTTGATCTGTTTCTGCTGTTATCTCTTCCCTACCACACAAATAATGGTGAAATTCCCACAGATGATGCATTATTAGAAAACTTCTTGATGTGGCGGTCATCCGAGTTGTGTCTAAAAAATAGTGCTGTAGAGCCCTTAGAGGTTAGAGAACTAGGACTTAAACATTATTTCCAGCTTTGAAGATCACCTGGAGCGCTGTTTGACCAGTTGTATGAAAATGGTCAGACTGCCTGCCATAAATGTTCTTCAACCTTTGTTGACAAGGAGAACATCAATTCAAGAAGTGGCAAAGAGCTCGACTGTGGATCTGAAGGAGCTTAGATGAGACAATCTGTTGAAAAGAAAAGATTAATTAATTATTAATGCATTAATTCATACATTTTAATTCATTTTTAATTAAGTTTATTTCTATAGCACCAATTAACAACACATGTCATCTCAAGGCCCTTTACAGTTCCACCAGATCATCCAGTCAGATTGATTTAACGTTGATTGCATCGACTCATTGACTCTTCAGCAATCCCTCACACTAAGCATGCTTGTAGCGACAGTGGAGAGGAAAAACTCCCTTTGAACAGGAAGAAACCTCCAGCAGAACCAGGCTCAGTGTGAGCGGCCATCTGCTGAGGCCCACTGGGGTTCAAGGAGACAGAAGCAGACATAGAAAAAGAAGCATAGATACAAAAAGCAACTGTCAACCAGCTCCACAGGCGGCCCCGTCCAGGAAACACACAGCCAGGCAGACGAGCTCCGAGCCAGCTCCCATGTCAGAGGATGAAGAGAGCACATCCAGTTAGTCACAGTCAGAGAAACAGGACTACACTGGAAAACAGGCCAAGCTCCAACATCTAGAAACAAAGGTGTTGATGGCAGCAGCACAGCTGATATTTCTCTCCAGGATGGAGTCACAGCCAAACAGGAACAGACCAGATGAAGCTACTATGAGAAAAAGCAGAGAGAGCAGAACGTTAGAGATTGAACTAACAGATTCTGCAGAGTGGGAGAATAGAGATAGAATGAAGCAGAATGATGAAAAAAGGAGTTCCCTACACTAGGAAACTGAACAAGTTTCAGAAATATATGTAGAAAACAGGGAAATTAATCTTGTCTGGCCTGACAGCTCTCTGGGTGCTTAGCACCCCTAAACCTGTGATCCTAGAATCACCCCTGGTACCCACCACGGTTGAAAACCTCAATTTGTCCACGGACCAGTTTAAAATGTTTCTAGAAAGCAGTGAAGTACGGAAGAGGATTAGAGCTACTGAAAAAAACAAGTTGACTGATTTTTAAATTATATTTCAGTATAATATGAGAAAAAAGTCAGAATTCTGACTTTAATATCAGAATTTTTTTTTTCCACTTTATTTTTATAGAATTTTCTACAGGTATATAACGAAAACATGACAATGATTAATGTCCTTTAGTGAATCCTTTAGCATTTGTCACAAAAAACAAAAAAACAAAAAAAAAAACGACAACAAAAAAGCATTAGACAAACAATAAATAATATTATATAAAAATAATTTGTTCATTTACACTTTGGACATACTGAAAGTAAAAAAACACACTTTATGGAGTTTCAACCAATCAATTAGGAGTGTCCACACCTTTATTCATAACAAATGAGATAAAGTAGAACAAAGAAAAGAGGGGGGGATAGGGGTTCTTTATGGCTTCAATTGTTCTAAAATGGGTTTCCAAATTTTGTAATATTTTTGAGGACAGTTTATTAAATCAAATCAAATCAAATTTTTTCTATGTGCAAGATTCCTGTAAATTCCTTGATCCAAGATTCAAAATTAGGTGGTCTGTCAGCCTTCCACTGCTTTAATATGCATCTTTTGGCTATCATCATGCCATAGGAGACCACTGTTGTTACATCACGACCCAGTTCCCAGTTTGTTAAGAGTGTCCGAGACACCAAAGAGGGCTGTTTCTGGATCGGGTTTTATGTTAACTTTAAGGGCGCGAGAGTACCATTCAAATATTGAGGTCTAGAAACTTTGAATATTTGGACAAAGCCAAAATTGATGTGCTAATGTGCTGTCCCATATTTTACATCTAATATCAGAATTTTGACTTTAATCTCAGAATTCTGAGTTTAAAGTCAGAATACTCAGAGTTCTGAAGTAAAGTAAAGTTAGAATTCTGACTTTAGAATTCTGACTTTAATCTCAGAATTCTGACTTTTAAATGCTGACTTTAATATCAGAATTCTGACTTTAATCTCAGAATTCTCAGAGTTAGAATTCTGACTTTAATCTCAGAATTCTGACTTTAATCTCAGAATTCTGACTTTAAAGTCAGAATTCCTCAAAGTAAAGTTAGAATTCTGAGAAAAAAGTCAGAATTCTAACTTTTTCCCATATTAAACTCAAATATTTCTAAATCTGTTTACTTTTTTATTTTTTCAGTGGCCTTAATCCTCTTCCGTGGGGATGCTTTTCTACATTTACAAATGTATTTTCTATTTTACCGAGAAGAAGATGCTCATTGTTGGAATAATTCCTGGGCAATTAAATGTATAAAGCACTTGCCATACCGCTGCCTGCCAGAGAGGGTAGCAGAGAGCTCTGCGGGTCGGGCAGCTACATGGTGCTCAATTTTTCAAGATGTCGTCGCTCGAACAGAGGTTGTCTCGAATCGAAGAGAAGCTAAAGCTTGAAAATGAAGAAGCTCGCCGGAAAATTGACATCAAAATCGACATGAGTCCGCAGCGGTCACGGCCGAGGCCAAGTGAGTATCTCCCGGCGGGGGGGGTCCAGGGGGTAACGGTTAGAATCGGTTCTGGAAAGAGGCAGAGAGAAGAAGCTAAGGGGGGTGTTCTGTAGCGCTAAGCTATTAGCCATGTTGCTAACAGACTAGCTACGTAAACAAACCCTCAGTCTTAGCTATTCTGTCAAATAAACACAACATGTAGGACAACTTCTGCACGTGTCGAGATAAAACCGAGATTAAAAGCAAAAACGACGTCGAATTAGTTTTCCTTGACAATATTGTAGCGAAATGAATTTAATATCAAATCTGTGAAACATGCTAGGCTAACAGGCCCAACATTAGCATGAACATATATATCAATCCCCTTCATATCGTAAGGCTATAGACATGTCATATATTCCTAATAGATGTATCGGGTGGTAGTTTATGAAGGTAAAAGTATTTGGTTTAGGCCTCAATCTTATGTCAATAATTAGTGATCCTTCGGCACATAGAGGGTAATTAGTAGAAACCACCGCAGGTTAGCTAACCTCGGTTACTGGTGAGGCAGAGATTACAGGAGGGAACTAAATGTTTAGTCTAGGGGAGCATTAGGTGACATAATCTCGCTTTATTTCTCTTTTATTATTGGGTGACACATCCACGATTTTTTTAGTTTGCGTTAGATATTATTTTGTAAATCTATGTTAAGGTGACCAGATTTCTGCAATCTAATCTAGGGATATTTCCAGCTCATTAATACATTTTATGAAAATTTAAGTAGGAAACACAGACAGTGATGTTTGTTTTTATCAATTTTTACATGTTTATTAATATTTAAACAAAAATGAAGTGTGAAATCCAGGAATGTGCCTCTTCCATTTCCTAAGATAAATAATATTAATCAATCAATAGTGGTTATTAGAGCCATCTGGTCAGTCAGTCTCTGTCTTCTTCCCTTGTGAGCAGCATAACAATGTGTTCAGGAACAGACCAGTTTGCATTAATACAGTCCTTGGGAATTTCTCTCTTTTTCCATTCCAAAACATTAAAATGAAACTTTTTATATTTATACATATATGCAAATTGAAAAACATATTTTTTCCTACATAATGATAACTATAAACTGAAATGGCCTCTAGTTGTTTCTACTGTATCCTGGACAGCTGCAGTGCATTCGGTTGCCTGGATTAAAATCTGCGTCACTATTAAAAAAGTTACATATATTCATACAACAATTAAACCACATCTATAAACCAGGATCATTCTCATGAGCAGCTTGAAGCAGTAGAAACTGCACAAATCTGTTATATTAAATTAATCATTCATTTCCGCATGTTTTGATCCTATGAATTTAATAATAATACAGCGCTTGCTCTCCTTGAGCTCCAAAGAAGTCGGAACTCGAGCTTCTATCATAATACAGTTCATATGCAACATTTTCTCCCTCATTCATAAAACTGAGTTTGTGGAAAACGGGTACTGTCCCCGGAAATCGGGGGCGTCTGGTCAACCTTTTCTATGTTCCAGTGTATGAATAAAATGTCCTGGCTCGACAGTAGCTGCTGACCACTGCAAAAACAATCTAGAAAAAAGCAAACATTTCTTAAATTAAGTGTATTCAACCTTTAAGTTGTAGGGAAGACATATTTAAATGTCAAATCATTATGCCTTAAACATGTATATAAATATACTCTTTATCAGATGATATTGTCCCAACATAAAATCATTATTTATACCTAAAACTAATATGTATGCAATTCTAATACAATTATTGAAGATTTCCAGAGGACTTCACCATTGAAATTCACCAGAGCTATAGTGAAACTGACAATGCCCACGTGCATGGCAGCTGGATGTTGGAAAACTGCAAAAAGCTACCAGTTAAAAACGGTTATTTATTAAACACTAGTTAATAATTTCATATTTAAAGTACTTTAAGAAGTTTGTATTCTGAATATGAGCGCACTTTCCTTTAAAGCTCTAATGACCCGGCTGCACCACATCATGGCCAAAAAGCTTTTGGTGTGAGCAAGGTCAGGGGAATTGCATCGTCTCTCTATGCACAACACGTGGGGCAGCGGTGAATCTAACGAGATGAGTGGTCATTGCTCCGCTCTCTCTGCATTCTGCTTTTTTCAGTCAGATTGGAGTATAGAGAAAAGAATGTAGAAAAAGGATGACATAAGGAATTCTCTAAAGAGGTTTTCAGGTGGCTTTAAAAAAAAAGCTGTTTTAATTTAGCCCTTGAAGGTCTGTTCATCATCCTCCTTTACCTCCATCACAGAGCTCATCCAGCCGCAGGTCTCTCCCCAGTACTGGTGTTCTTTGCCTGGCTAGATACACGGAAGTACTGCTGAATCTGATGGTTGTCTGGAGCTTCCCCAAAAATCAATGGTCTATTGAAGCCCGATTAAGAAGTTGTGCATAGAGACTTAATTTAGCATCGGTCTATAATGTTACGTTTCACATATACTGTCATTGTGACGTTTTTCGTGTGAAAAATGTTTTCAACTCTACCGTCCAGTTAAATTATCGATGGATTTTAGTCAGTCAACACTTTACTTGCTTTGCAAAGTAGATGAGAACAAGACATTCGTAATGTTTCAACAGTAATCAGCCCTGTTCTGTCTTAGAGTCGTTCCCTAACTTAAAAGGCAGATTAATAAAAAGAATAAAATTAAGTTGAGACTTTTTGTGTCACCTTGTTAAATGGCAGAGCTCAGTCTGTCTTAGAAGTAGGGCTGTTGTAAACGAATATTTTAGTAATCGAGTAATCTATCGATTATTCTTACGATTAATAGAGTAATCAGATAAAAAAAATTTATAAAATAAACTATTGGCAAATCTGCAATAACACCAGTTAGTCCAGATCAGTCCAATATCTCCTTTTTGAGCATCCCTAACAGTTAAATGTTTGTAGTTTAGAAAGTTTACTTGTAACAGTAGTTTGCTTTAACCTGAAGAAAAGTTATAAGATATTAAATTATATTCAAATAATAAAGTGGCAGGCTCATAAATATGCTTATAAAAATGTCTAAATGTAAAGGTTTGAGTTTGTACAGAGTTCTGCAGCCTTAACTAGTCATGATAAAATGCAAAAATGTTGCTATTTTTATTAAGACGATGCTATTATTTATTCTTGATTGCTTAGGTATAAACAAATATAGAATTACTACAAAAAATATTAATCAAAAATTTCTAATTCATACATAACAGTAGCGAGAAGAAAAGACTGTAACTTTTCAGGATGGAAAGACACCAATAAATAAATGCTTTTCAGCTTATGCCTGTAATCTGTTGCTGCGTATTTTTATTAACAAACTTACATTAAGTCCTGCATAATTTCTCTCAGTTCCACCCTCACATACAATTTACACTACACCCGGTTAAGTAACCGCTATGTTTAGATATAACGTTAGCAAAATAATGTGCCTCAATTTACATCTATAACATGGCAGATTATCACACAACGTAGTTAGCAAAGAGAACATAAACGTTACCTGTTAGCAACCGTGTACGAGTTGGATGCATGTAGCGGGTGTTTTCTCTTCAGATGCTGCAACATTGATGTTGTGCTGTTGTGGTACGCCAATTCTGCTTTGCAGTGGATGCATTGCGCTGTGTTGTCCTTTCTGTTTAGCCTAAAATGTTCCCAAACTTTGGACATTTTTTGTCGCTTTCGGGGTTCTCCTTCTGAGCTTTCTCCGGTTCCCTCCATAGCTACAAACTTAGCACAAGCGCGCCAGGCGCTAACGGAAGTGGTAGCGTTGTGCAACACAGAAACCCTCCGGCTAGACCAGTGTGCTGCGTATTTAACAGCATTGCTTATTACAATACAATAAATTTAGCGAAGCTTCGAGGCAGATACATTTCCTCGAGGATTTTTTGTAATCGAGTTACTCGAGTTACTCGATGAATCGTTTCAGCCCTACTTAGAAGGCAGTGCTTTCATTTAACACTGACGATGTTTGTTTTCTACTTTAGATCGCCAATGAAATGTAAAATATTAGCAAATATAGGTCATATGTTGAGACTTTAAAGGAGATTTGATTCTTAAGAAGCGGGTGCAATACAGTTTGTCCGATTGGAGTTGCCATATGTTGACTTCATAAGAAAGGGCAGGACCTGGGTTCCTACACCGGCATGGTGTGGTGGTGACTAGTTGATCTTATTGTGAAGGGAATTGAAGCAAGTAGTCAACGAGCAACTGATCTCACTATGTTCCAGATCACTGAATCACTTTTAGAGGCGTCTGATTCTACTATAAAGATGAGAAAAATTACAGTGAGATCCAGATGAATCAAATCTGTATTTAGAATGAAATTGGACAGTTATCAGTGTTAACATCAGTTAAATGTTACTGGTGCGATTATATACCAGACCTCGAACCCATTGGATGGGACTCGAGGTCCCGTCCAATGATTGACACATGAAGAAAAAAAAAGACAATGTTTGATTTTGTTAGCCACCTGTTAGCTTTCTGCTTTGATGCACAAATGGATCTGCAGGGGAAAATATTTTCCACCCTCCCTTTTTTTTTGCAGTTTGCTAAAATGAGATTTCTAGCTGTTTTAACTCTTTATAGGGCACTCGATGAAATACTTTGAAAATCAAAACTTTAAGCCAGTAGTGTTATTGGAATCCAGGACAAGACTTTATTACCTTTGTAACATTGCAAATATATGGGTATTTCTGATGGATTAAAATGAATGTCAATGTAATAACAAGAAACGCCAACTTGCCCGAAAATATTAAGAAAAATAACAAAAGAGCTTCGATAAGAAATACATGAAAAACACTCTTGAGAGGCAAAGAAATACATTTCTTTGGTACAACATAACCTTAGAGGCATTAATGCTGGTACTGGTGCTTACAGTTCTTTAGTTGATAAACCTGAATATAATTGTTAACTTTACTGTTTAACTTTACAATTAGCTTTTTACAGTTTTTCTTGACTTGTTAATTTAAAAATTTTTTTTCCAGCTTAATTTCCAGTAGGTAATATATCCTTCAAGGGCTCATCTAATTGGTCAAATGCCAAAATGAGATGTTCAGCCATGTAGCTGCATCTTTGCTGAATGGCTGACATAGATCTTGTGCTTCTAGACCTCACTGAGGGACGGGGGGGGTGTATGTAAGTGATCAAAAACGGTAACTTGCCCTATAAAGGGGTAATGTCGTTTGGTAATTTTTTAACCACTTTAAGTCGGCTTAAGTCTTAAAGCCGTTTTCCAAAGAGCTTTAGAGTCCAGTACTGTAGCAGAGGAAGCGTGGTGCGTTTTTAGTCCCGTATTCTAAGCTTTTAGTCTGTGAGGGTTGGAATAAAACCAACCTTTTAAGAACACTTTTTTTTTTTTATAAGAAAAGTTAAGCTGATGCTCTGTGTTCTTTGATGGTGTGCTTGTTGGGTTCACATGTGTTTAGAACACTACAGTAACGTACGTGTGTGTGTATATATTTTCTTTCTTCTGTCTAGTCATCGTGATCCAGCTCAGTCCTGCTCCAGCCCCCTCCCAGCGTGCAGGTATCATTCAATCCATCGCTCCTCATGCCACTGCACCTCCTAACATCTCTGTGCCCTGGTTTATTCTTCCTCTCTCCTTCTTCTTCCTCTCTACTTCAGATGGTTGTTTATTGATATAATACCACCTATAACACCCGAGGGAGGTAGACAGAGGTTAGGAAGGAAGGCCTCTATTTAATTATACATTTACTTTCTCTTGCTCTGTGAAGCCCAAAAGCTGACAGGAGCTAATTTATCTTTGTAATGCATTGATATTTATATGATCGTTGTTTATCTTCTATAACTGATGGTTAAAAAAAAAACTCAGAGATTTAGTAACTGGTTTTTCCGCCTGCTTTATCTTTCTGACCAGGTCGTACTGATTTTTATCTGTTGGTTTATTTTTAAGACTAAGAAAATATTATTTTTACTTCCTGGTATGTTTAGTTGTCCTTTAAAGGTATAGTGGATGATTTTCACAAATTTTTAAAGAAGCACATGCACAACCCTGTACCCGCTCCTGATAGGGAACGCCAATGAAAAGCATGCTAGAGCGTGCACGAGCCTATTTCCCCTCGTGAACGCTCTGTTTAAAAGTTGCTGTTTGCATCGCTCATACAAATTTACTTTCCAAAAGAAGATTTTCTATTTTTATTGCATTACTGTCAGACTCACAACCGGTAAGTGAAAATGGGGACGAGCACATAGGACGGCCGTACGTCAACATGTCACCTGAATGATTGACAATTAGGAGAACGAGTTATCTTGATGATCCACCGGGAAAAAGAACATCCTCCACTAGGGCTGAACGATCTATCGTTTTCGACCGAAAACCGCGATCTCAAGCAACGCGATTTTAGGAATGTCAAAGCTGCGGTTTTTCTTGGTGCATATTAGCCCAATAATTCCTCAATAATTCCAATGCATGCTCATGTAGAAAGGCTCTGTGTCGGCTATTACCAATCAGAAAAGGCTCTGTGTCGGCCAGAACCAATCAGAAAGCTGAAAGGCTGCGCGTGACCAGATGACGTTTTCAGTGTAGCTCGTAAGCTCGAGATTCAATTTCAAGATGGCTGAAGCGGGAGCAGACGCGGAGCCGACAAAATTAATACCAAAGAAAAACAGCACGTCGGTCATTTGGCAGTATTTTGGATTTGAGGCCACTGATGAGCACCAGAAACAGGTGATTTGCCAAACATGTCGTGGGAAAGTGGCTACATCGGCTGGCAATACCACCAATTTACATCGTCACTTGAGAGTCCACCACCTTAACTTGTATGAGGATTGTATGGCGAAAAAGAGCCTTGAAACATCAAGTAGCAGTGATACTTCAGCAAAACAGCCAACCATAACTTCATCCTTTGCCAGTTTGACGCCTTATGAAAGAACTAGCCGAAGACACAAGGAGATTACCACTGCCGTAACGAATTACATATCGAAGGATATGGTGTCTGTAAACACAGTAACCAAAGACGCTTTTAAAAGTTTGCTACGCACAATGGACAAGAGGTATGTTCTACCCTCCCGCACCTACTTTAACCGAGTCGCCATCCCACAGCTGTACGGAGAATGCAGGGCCAAAGTTCTAAATGAGCTGGAAAACATGGAGTTTTACGCGTCAACTACGGATCTGTGGTCAAGTAGAACGACCGAGCCATACATGAGTTTGACGGTGCATTTCGTGAATGCAAACTTTGAGTTGAGAAGCCGCTGCCTGCAGACAGCATACTTCCCCACTGACCATACGGGGGAGAACATTGCAACTGGGCTTAAAGAGTGCTTGGCAAACTGGGGCCTAAAAGAAGAGGCCCAGACCTGCATCACAACAGACAACGCCACGAACATGGTCAAAGCGATGGAGCTCAATCAGTGGACCAGACTGCAGTGCTTCGGGCACCGGCTGCATCTTGCAATTGGTAAGTGTGTGTGTGTGTGTGTGTGTGTGTCCAAATTTACTGTGTAAGAATTAGTGTTATCATAGTCTCTCAAACACAGTTAGGGCGGGGGAGGGGGACAAAGCGACCCTATGTTTGTTTTCACGCTTTTGTTAGCTGACCAACTGTTAGCGCAATGCTACCGTTTCTCCTACCTATAAAAATAAACGCTTTCATGAGTAAACTTTGAAACCTCCCAATAAGCTACTGCTTGCTTCTGTTTAGCTACGGAATGCCAAGGAACAGAGAGATACAAATGCCGTTTCCCCTAAGCAGGAGGTCTTCAACAGGGTTGTGCGCGACCCCTAGGGGGTCTACGGAGGTACTGCATGGGGGTCGCGAAAGTTTTGGTTGATTAGACTTTTTTATATATTCCCCCCTGCAACTTTTTTCATTAATTGAGATGTCTTTAAATACACATTAACATGAATTAACACAGATAAATGGAGGCAGAAGATGTCTTTCAGTCATCAATGCTCACATTCAGTGACACAGCTCTTTCAAGACAATATTTCATTCACAGCACCTGTCCCATCAAGCAGGAATCAGAATCAGAAATACTTTAATAATCCCAGGGAGTAATTATTTTGTTAAATCACTCCATCTGTAATAGAGTGACTATAGGAGCAGTTTTATATAACACAATTTCATACAATATATATAATTATGGGGTCCCTGCTCCATCTCGCCATCAGTTTGGGTTCCTTGGCCAGGAAAATGTTGAAGACCCCTGCCCTAAGCTTATTTTTGACACACTTTAGTAAACAAAAAAATAATAAATAAAAAAAAAAAAAAAGCAAATGACGCCAATGGTATTTTGTAGCAGATATGAGGATGGCTGATGCCACTTTATTACAGATTGAAAGGTTTGTTGTGTTTTAGTGGATTGTCGAATAAACATATTGCTGCAAATTAATCACCAGTTACAAATTAATGTATGGCGAATTACTTAATGTGATAGCACCACCTGATGTCTGCTGTTAAAAAAAGTTATGAAGTAGGCTTATCTGACTGTATGTAATGTTTTTCCCAGAAAATGCAGTCAAAGATGACCAACGCATCAAACGGGCCACAGGACTGTGCAAGCAGCTGGTAGCAGTCTTCAGCCACAGCTGGAAGAAAAAGGCGGCGCTAAAACAGGCACAGGAAGACCTGAATCTTCCTCAGCAGTCAATGGTCACCGAATGTCCGACACGATGGGGCTCCCGGCAGAAAATGATTGAGAGGGTGTTGGGACAGAGCAAGGCACTGTGCCAAGTTCTGTCTGAAGACAGGAAGACGCGGCACCTGGTCCCGACTTGGCAAGACACTGATGTGCTTGAATCTGTAAACAATGCTCTCGGTCCTCTTCAGGAGTTCACAGACGCCCTCTCAGGTGAGGACTATGTGAGCGTATCCTACCTAAAGCCAGTGCTCCACCTGCTGAGAACAGCAACACTTGCTGTAACTGACCAAGACACAGATCTCACAAAGGAGATAAAGTCAAAAGCTCTCCACTACATTGAAGAGAAATACAGTGACCCAGCGACCCAGGAACTCCTGGACATTGCATCTTTCCTCGACCCAAGATTTAAGACCAACTACATTAGTGAGGAGAATGTCCAATTCATGAAAGACAGAGTGAAGATGGAAATGGAGCAGTTGGCACTAAAGGTAAGCTGTCCTTTTTCTTCACTCTTTCAAAATAAAACAAAAAGCTGTGTTTTTTCTATATATGTTTTTGAATTATACTGTAAGACCAAGGCAACATTTCAACATCAATGTCAGTAATCACAACTAATTGCAAAACATTATGCCTCTACTGTGTGTTGCAGGAGCAGAGGGCTTGTGTCAAAACCCATCCCATGCCACTCAGTACAGAAGAAGAACCACCATCCACCTCTACAAAGCGAAAGCGGTCACTGGGCAGCTTTTTCAAGGCGGTCCCTGCTTCCTCTACTATGCAGTTGGAGGATACCATTAAAGCAGAACTGGACAACTACCTCATAACTCCTAGCATTGATGGAGAGCAAGATCCACTGGCCTGGTGGAGAGTGCACAATGTCAACTTCCCCTGGCTTAGCAGGTTGGCTCGTAAGTACCTTTGCATACCAGCAACAAGTGCACCATCAGAGAGACTGTTCAGTGCCAGTGGTAATATTGTCACATGTCAGCGTGCAAGTCTGAAGCCAGCAAGGGTTGACATGTTGGTTTTCCTGGCCAAAAATCTCTAAAGAGATGTAGCGATGAAGGGGAACATTGTTTTTTCATCTTATCCTGAAATCCCTTACTTGCACTTACCGGGACATAACTTTGTTCATCTTTTTTACTTATCTTTTGTTTACTGACTATGTAAAATAATTTAACCATTCTGGCATCATTTGTTGTGAGGAAAATATAGGATAATTTAAACTTTAATACTATTATTGTACTGTTATTTTTTACTACCTTTTATGTTTCAATTCCTCTTGCCACTTTATTTGAAGAAGCACAGGTTTCTAAGTACAGGGGTTGTATTTCTGTAACTGCTCTGTTTATGTTCATAAGCTAGCTCCTTTGAGCCATTTTGCACTTCTTTTAAGGTAAGACTTCATTTTTGCTCAACTTTGTTGTTATATGTTATATTTTTTATGAAGCTTATGTTATTTTACAAAGTGCAATTGTTTTGATGCTGCTGAGCCATTAATATTTTTTTAATGAAAAGTGTAAAAGAAGCAAAAGTTTACTTAAGAGGGCTCCCGTCCCTTTGTAATTTTTATGTAGCCTACGTTATTTTACAAAAGTGCAATTATTTTGATGCTGATGAGCCATTGATGCTTGATATTTTTTGTTAATGAATGTAAAAGAAGCAAAAGTTTACAAAGGAGGGTTCTCATTTTATTTGACTTTTTTGGATAATATAATTTGTTTCTTAGGTGCTTGAATAAACAGTCTTGCATTTGAAATATGTTGCCACCAGTTTTCATTCTTGCATTATCTTAATTGAATTCATTGGTTATATAATTATTAAATATATATTAATTTGTACTGAAATTTGATAAAAAAATAAATCGTGGTTGAAATCGAAACCGCAATCTCTGCCAGAAAAATCGCAATTTCAATTTTTTCTTAAAATCGTTCAGCCCTATCCTCCACTATACCTTTAAATGAAATATTTGAGTTCTCTGAAGCTGTGTTGTAGCACTAAAGCTCCTCTATTCTTCCCCAAATTACCAATTTGTTCTCTAGTTATGACAGAGAATCGAGGCCTTACTAATTCATTTTTATTGAATCCCTGGAATAAAGTCATATTTTGAGAATACAGTTGTAATATTGCAAAAATAAAGTAAACTTACCATAATAATAATAATAATATGATATATTATTAATATTATAAAAAAATATGGTTTAATGAGAAAAAAGAGGGACCTCAGACCGAGCCCAACAGTTTATTGCAGGAGAAGATTGCTCTTTCTTGTTAGAATTTACATAAAAGTAAGCGGCTTCCTAAATCTGGTAATATTATTTCTCTTCTGGCAGTGTAATGACTTGATTCTCACGATATTCGATTTAATTGTGGCTACATATTTTTTCTTCCAATTTTACGTCTGTATTCTTGCCATGGTACGTCTAAATACTGGCAATGTTACATCTTTATACTTAACTATTTTGTAAAGATACCCCTGTATTCTCGTAAAGTTACAACTTTATTCTTGCGGTGTGCAGAGTAAATTCTTGTAAGGTTACGAAGTTGTTCGCGCAAAGTTAAGTCATTGTTCTCGCAAGGTTACGACGTTGTTCTCGCAAATTTACGACGTTGTTCTCGCAAATTTACGACGTTGTTCTCGCAAAGTTACGACGTTGTTCTGGCAAATTTACGACGTTGTTCTGGCAAATTTACGACGTTGTTCTGGCAAATTTACGACGTTGTTCTGGCAAAGTTACGACGTTGTTCTGGCAAAGTTACGACGTTGTTCTGGCAAAGTTACGACGTTGTTCTCGCAAAGTTACGACGTTGTTCTCGCAAAGTTACGACGTTGTTCTCGCAAAGTTACGACGTTGTTCTCGCAAAGTTACGACGTTGTTCTCGCAAAGTTACGACGTTGTTCTCGCACAGTTACGTCGTTCTCGCACAGTTACGACGTTGTTCTGGCAAAGTAGCGACGTTTTTCTGGCACAGTTGCGACGTTGTTCTGGCACAGTTACGACATTGTTCTCGCACAGTTACCACGTTCTGACAAAGTTAAGACGTTGTTCTGGCACAGTTAAGACGTTGTTCTGGCACAGTTAAGACGTTGTTCTGGCACAGTTACGACGTTGTTCTCGCAAAGTTACGACGTTGTTCTCGCAAAGTTACGACGTTGTTCTCGCAAAGTTACGACGTTGTTCTCGCAAAGTTACGACGTTGTTCTGGCACAGTTACGACGTTGTTCTGGCACAGTTACGACATTGTTCTCGCACAGTTACGACGTTGTCCTCGCAAATTTAAGTGGTTGACTGGTTGTCCTCACAAATTGATGTGGTTGTCCTCGAAAAATTACGTGATTGCTTTCGAAAAGTTACCTTGTTGTTCTCGCAAAGTTACGACGTGGTTCTCGCAATGTTACGTCGTCGTTCTCGCAGCCTTTATTTTGCAGTGTTGTGACTAAATTCTCGTCAAGTTACGACTTGATTCTCGTCAAGTTACGACTTTATTCTCGTCGAGTTACGACTTTATTCTCGTCGAGTTACTACTTTATTCTCGTCGAGTTACTACTTTATTCTTGTCAAGTTACGACTTTATTCTCGTGTGTTGTCACTAAATTCTCGTCATGTTACGACTTTATTCTTGATCTGTTCTGTTACAGCTGACAATGTTATGACTTTACTCTGGTAACATTAGGACTTTATTCACTTAAACAATAACATTGTCACTGTATGACCCAAATCCTCTGTAGTCAGTAGACTGCAGGGTTGCATGCTGTGCCGCCACGCTCTTCGTAAACGTATCTAAATAAAAGGAACTTCGCATCATCGGAACCCCCGTCATTGGGCTCAGAGAAACAGGGTCATCTTTCGTTATCCAGGAGGTTTGTTGCTTCATTGTTACAGATAAAAAGCCTTAATGACCTTAAACTTTCCTTCAATTGTCAGTGTTAGGATGTAGCATTAGCTTAGCTAGCATTTGGCATCATTAAGCATTCCAGGTTAGCAGATTTTAAAACTTCCAGCCGACTGTTTATGTCAGTTGAGGCTGCAGGGGGGGCTGCTATGGTGGTACTGCTGCTTTGGACGGTTTAGGCAAAAATGAGGGATCAGCTGAAGCTATTTTAAAGCAAATAATATTAATTGATTAGTTTATTTTTTAGAGTTGAATTGACAGAATTTTAAAATTTGTAGATTTTTGTTGTGGCCTTATTCGATGTTTTAAGCTGCTCCTCCTGTATTAGGACTGCTTAAATCCATTAATTTGTAAAAGCTGGCAGCGATCTTCAGTGATATTGAAGCTGCTAAAAACACATGATAGGTAACGTAATAAAAGTTTTTGATTAGGGAAGATGATTTGGATAAGAGTGCATTTCATTAAACAGATGCTTTTAACCCTTCAGTTCTTTAGTCTTCCACCAGAGCGACTGTTTTTATACTATAAATCATCCAGGCCCTGTAGAGCTGGTATTTGAGCTCATTAGTTTATTTACTCGTCCTGTAAACTCACCACATCCCTCCCATCTTTACACCTCCCCACTCTGTCTGTCCCTGTGTGTCTGTTGCCACAGGCAGGGCAGTGTTGGTACGTGTTGTTCTCTGTGTGTGTGTGTGTATGTGTGGACGTGTGCAGGACCATTAACTCTTGTTTTGCCGGAGGCAGAGAATCACGGTGCATGTGGCTTTTCTGCACGATGCAATGGAATGGGTTTCATGTTTGCCACGGTCTCTAATCCAGCATCCGCTCTGGTCCGTCTGCAGGAGGGCTGTGAAAACTCTGACCTCTTTCTCTCATGGTCTTTCTGTGCAAACTGAAGACCCGTCTTCCTGTCCAAGTCTGACCCCCGTGTCCGACTTCCAGCTTGGTCTGTTCCGTGCAGTTTTGGCTGAATTTCTTCTTTTCTCACTCGTTGGATTGTCTGTTTTTTTTTTTTTTTATTCCTCTCCTGGCATCCTCCTGATCCTTTTGCAGTGGCACTGTGTGAACGGGAGGCCAGGCCCCAGTGCCTGCTGGGAACTTTCAGTGTCTCCCCGCCGTGTCTACCTGTCAGTCTTCCTATCTCTCTGGAGTCGGTCGATGCGTGGAGATGCTAACTGCTGAAGACTGCCTGAATCCTCTTCACACTAACTCCTCCCTTTCACTGGCTAATTCTCTTTTTACAGGCTGATCATCCAGGTGGAGACCCACTGGCACAATTGGAGAAGCTGCTTTATAAATTAAGAGGATTATAACTAGAGTAACAACCGTAGGGTCCATGTTTGGAAGCTGGTTGTGAATAATTTTTGCCCATAATGAGTCTAAAAGGGTTTAACTTGGGAAGATTGTTACATGTAACTCATCAGGTGCATTAAAAAAAGCAACATCAAATTAAATTGGGGGGTCTTTCTTGCCCCATCAGACACCTGAGTGAAATACTCTCAGCACTCAAATATCCTCAGGATAATGGTGCTACATTGGAGCTAGTTAGTTCATCTCGACCTTCTCTTTTCTTTCCACGAGAGAGGTCCGTGCAGAAATCACTTGCCAGTTTGTTTTTACATTGGGTCAGGACAAAAACAAAGCCTCGTCTCTGTGGGTGTGGCTGTGAAAGAACTCCCTGACCGCGCCGAGGCCAGTTTCTCTAACGGAAAACACATGAAAAATGTTAAATAATCTTTCTCTTTTCTTAGCAAAGTTTGTTAAAACAGTCATAAAAAGAAAAAAGTGCTGAAAACTTTTAAAGGTCGGAACAGGACCTCTGCATCCTAATCACCAAAAGTTGGTTTCGTCCTCTTGTGGGCAAATCTCCCCTAAAACAATCTCCTCTTTTCTTTGAGTAGAGGATGCACTCCATGTCTCTGACTGATTCACCATCTCCTGCTTCAACCCAGCTCTGCAGCTTCCACTGGTCAACGACGGCGGCAGCCGCTCCTCATCCTCAGAGAGCTCGCCTCAGCACCACGCCTACCCCAGCCGCCCACGACACATGCTCACCCTACCTACGCCTCCTTATGGCCTGCAGAAGAGCCTCGAGAAGTAGGTGTAACCCTTCAAACAACACTATTTATTGGGAGATTGTTTCCAAGTTGGAAGAAGTTTCTCTTCCCTTCCAGGAAGCTTTCTCAATTCAAAATGTCAGAATTAGCGTTGAGTTCGAGGCTTTACACAGCAGTCCAACAAACGCTTTGTTTTTGTTTAGAAAACATGCAAATTGAAACGGCCGAACAGGTCCACGCCTTTGGAATGGCGTCGTTTGGCTTCTTTTGATGACCAGAATGTTCACATTTTGGACAAAGAAGACAGGTTGTTTGAGAGGGGCGTGAAGGAAGCCATCTATGTTAAGAAAGAAACCAGATTTCAGCTTTTAAAAACCCACAGTTGATTCTTTCCTGTTATCATCGCCGCCCCACCCCCTTTATAGGGGAACAGAAGACCTCACCTTTTCAGCCAGGCCAACAATTCCCTTTAATGACCCCCCCCTTTCAGAGACATAGACAGGTATGGGGCATTGCAGGCTAACAAAGAAGCCAAACGACCCCCATTCCAGAGGGGGGGGACCCGTTCATTCGTTTCTATTTGCATGTTTTCTAAATAAAAACCAGGCTTTGTTGGGCTGCTGGATAAAACCTGGAACTAAACGCTATTTCTGACATTTGGAATTGAAAAAGCTTCCTGGATGGAAGAGAAACGTCTTCAAACTTGGAAACAAAGTCCAGTGGATTGTTTTTTTAACTTTCTTTGGAATAATTATGACCTTGAAGACTGAGAATCTTCACCATCATATTTATTGGGAGCCACCTGTGAAGGATTTCTATGAAAAGACGGATTGATGAAAGCCTCCTGTTATGAAGGGGAGATCTCCAGCTTCTAAAGCTCTACATAACTAAGACTTACTTCCTGTACTCTTTTATTTTCATTTTTTGTTTTTTTCTTCAGTGTGGAAATTGACCAGAAGCTGCAGGAGATCATGAGGCAGACGGGTTATCTGAAGATTGATGGTCAGGTGAGGATCACACTTCAGCATTTTAGTGTCCGACATGTTGCAGTACTGGAGCTTAAACGTCTATCCAGAAGCTGAATGAGTAAAAGAGGAATATGAAGCTGACTAGAGGGAAACGCTCTAGCTTGGCTATTTGTGCAATTTTGTGGTCCAAGCCCTAAAAAGAAAAGGAGATGACGTATTTGGACAAAGACATGGCTGAGCAAACAGGGCTACTAAGGTCTGTCAGTTTTACAGAAAGAACTCCATTTCATTCATTGCCCCCCCACCATGCTGCTGGGTTTACATCTGAGAGGAAGAAGAAGAATCCTTGTTTGCCCACTGAGCGATTTGCCCACGACCCCCTTACGATGACCGACTGAATGTAAAACATGTTTGATTTTCTCCCGACCTTACGATTCCTGATCAGGAGGTGCTCATGAGAGGCTGATCGCCCCTCGTCACCCCCGCCTGTACGCTACGCCACGCACAATCAGGCTGAAAGTCGGCCCTATCAAAAAAATCTCCCCGGACTGAAGAATCAGCCCGAAAAGGGCAAAAAAAATCATACAGTGTACGCTGGGGCTGGGTAAAAAAAATCGATTTTGAATCGATTCCTTTACATTTTTGCAAAATCGATGTCCAGGGAATGAGATCGATTCATTTTATAGTGACTCGCGTGACGTTCACATTCAAATAAGCAGAAAAGATGCGCTCAAGATGACTTCAAGCCAGACAGCTGCAAATATATCCAATAGGTCGACTGAAAACATTAACAAATGGAGGCTGAGCAGCAAACACCCTGTAGTTACAGACAACGCTGCAAATATGGTTTGTGCATTGGAGATAATGCAGCTCATGAATGTCTGCTGTGTCACGTCTGCTTGCTAGAGTGAGGCTTCACTTTTTCACATTTCACAAACAAGTTTATACTTTTAAGACAGTTTTGTTCACAGTCCATGTTAAAACTGTCTGATTTACATGTTTGCACTTTGTGTTTAATGTGACAGGAAAAAATAAAATGTATGAATACTTTGAAACACAGTTTCATTATTGTAAAAACAGATCGAATTGTAATTAATTGATTTAGAACTGTATGAATCAAAATCGAATCGATTCAGGACTTTGCCGAAAACACCCAGCCCTAGCGTACGCCCAGCTTAAGGGGGTTCTTCTCTAACCTGACTCCGCCAGATGGATTTGCTCCGCATATCCATCTGGAAACCTTCCGTTGAAGTAATTTTGCGAAGGGGCGAAAATACTGGTTAGCTGATTGGCCTATGTTGGTGATAGACGGGCCAAATAAACCTATCAGATCAACGAAGCATATGACGTACTAACAGAGCGACGACGAAGAGGAGCCAATTGATAGATCAAACTCTTGCCGAAACCAGTCGGGAGAAGAGCAAAAACATCTTTTCCTCTGAGAAAAGCCTCCAGAGCAGTGTTTTGCTCTTATTTCAGTGAAGAAATACTCTGTAATTCCCATAAAACTTGCTCGATAGCCACGCTAATGCTAGTTTCATCGGCTGAAGCCGCCATGTTCTTTAGACTGAACTGTCACGCTTCTCGTTGCGTCACACCTCAACCCGCCTCAAAGCCAACGCTGATTGGACGTTCGTTTGGTTAACTGCTCCAAGTTTTCTTCAACGGAGAGTCTCCAGACTGATCTGCGAGTGAAACCTTGAAAGCTCGCGAGATCAGGATGGTCTCACGAGGCTAGGATATTATAGAGCTTGGTTTAAATTTGGGCCATGTTTTCATCTCCAGCGGTATCCAGCTGAAGTCACTGACCTCATCAGCGAGGGAGAGATCGGCAGTGGGACGTGTGGACAGGTCTTCAAAGTCCGTTTCAAGAAGACGGGCAACGTCATCGCTGTTAAGGTAAGAGGCTGGGTGGTGTTGCTCGAAGGATCAGGAGTTCCTTTGGACATCATTGAAAATTACACACTGTAGCTTCAAAAAGAAATAAATATTTCATGACAATTTTATTAACAGCAAGTAGGGGTTGGCGATATATCGGATATATTCGATGTATCTTGAGTTTTCCCATGCACGATACTTAAAGTTGCAGGGAAATCATATTTAAATATCAAATCATTCCATTTGTAGGGGCTATCCAAGGGAACAAAAACAGTAACTTGCACTATACAGGGGTGAAAAGAGTTGTATTGTCTCACATCAGCCAGCAGGGGGCGGCAAATTCCCTCCATCATCTATGTAAAAACAAGCCTAGCAGAGGCGTTGGGAAGAGTTGTTTGCAGATCTAGCAGCGATTTCATGAATGAATGTTAAGCTGTTAATGTTTTGTGTTGACAGCAAATGCGTCGTACCGGAAACAAGGATGAAAACAAGCGTATCCTCATGGACCTGGATGTGGTGCTGAAAAGTCACGACTGTCCTTACATCATTCAGTGCTACGGCGCCATAGTCACCAACGTGAGTATCTCCCTTCCCAAAAAACATGGCAGCTTACCCGGAAATCCCACATCCTCCGTATCCTCCCTGCTGCGCCTACAACCTCCGCTACGACTTCCCTCATCCTCGAGGACATTATGCACGATTTATTGTTATTAAACTTTTAGGAGCATAACGTTCGTAAATGAACGCTTAATTTAATATGACATATAAAAAAATCCCCATCAGCATCCAGCATATGAGCAGTTTCTGCTTGAGTATTTTCTTTTTATTGAGGATTTTTGTAACAGTGATAACTAGCATCATATAAAATTGGTTTGTATCAACTAGGACTGCAACAACGAATCGATACAATCGACTTTTAAAAGCGTTGGCAACGAATTTCATCATCGTTTAGTTGTGTCGCGCGATTAATGCGTCATCCACCGCCGTCGTCATTGCCCTGGGTCGCCTCCCCCATCCCAACCCTGTTCTCCCGCGGCGCTCCCGCAGGAGTCCCTCTCAGCGCTGCAGTCAGAGCCACAGGATTGCAAATGAAGCGCGCATGCGCGCTTTGTAAAGTGAACAAAGTCGTAACATGCAACTTTTGTAAAAACAAATGAACATGGCACAGAAGCACCACTGTTATGATGCAGCACCTGAAAAGGAAACACGTTGGAGCCTTCAATGGCAGTGAAGAGAGCTGATCAGCAGGATGAGCGGCCATGTTTGTTTGGTTTTAAAGTGGGGAAACGTAACGTTAGTTTCTCAGGTAGCTCATCTGATGCTGTCCTTACCGTGTTAGTAGGTTACAGAGAGTGATAAGGTTGGCTACTTATTTTACTTTTAATTTCATTTGAATTAGCTTAAGCAGCGTTTACATTTACTTTATAAATAAATTAACTTGCAAATTATGAGGGCAAGACTTTTAAAGTTTAAATCTTCTGGCAAAGATAAAGTAAAGAAGATCCTGCAATTTATGGAAGTAAAGCAGAATAAAATCCAGCAAGATCAGTAATATGTCAATTAATTATCTGCCACATTCCCATGTAAATATCTGTCTTTGGAGGATGTGTTTTTTAGCACCCCTAGTTCTCTCATTTTTATTCCAAATACAATTTATAATTTGAATCACAGGGCTATTTTTATCTCTATGGTTCAGTATTTTCTCAAGTAGCAACTTTAACTCCTATACTTTCCTGTCTTAAAAGGCAGAACTCTTCTAGTCTAAAAAAACTAATTTGTTGAAATGGGGGGGCCTATTGTTTGAACCCCTTAGGGGCTTAAAAAGCAAAAATGCCTTTTTTTGCACTTTATGAAACAAAGTAGCCTATATTTTGTGGATGTACAGCTACATTTCTCATGTAAGTTTGCGTAGTTTTAACTCAAACATTTATTTTTCATATTGCACCAGGACAGTTAATGAGCAACCTGTACTTGTGTGCTTGTATGTTCTGTCTAAAATGTTTATTTTGGAATAAAGAGGTTAATATAAAAAATATTTTTTGTCCGATTCATCGATTAATCGAAAAAATAATCGGCCGATTCATCGATTTTTAAAATAATCGTTAGTTGCAGCTAGGCTTGTCCCGATCCGATCCACGTATCGGATCGGGACGCCGATATTGGCAAAAAAAATGCGTATCGGCAAAGCATGTAAAATGCCGATCCAGTTTTTAAAAAAAAATCTGGTCCGTATTTTCCAGTTTCGCCGATTGAAACGATCCATTCCACTATTTTGTGCCAGTGTTTCCCTGTTTTGCATTTTTATTAAAACTTACAGTAATACTTGCACCTTTAACTGTTTACGGTTTTACTGTTCACTGTGCAATTTTCAGATTGCTATTCATAATTTTGTCCAGTTTGTGTTTATCTCTTAATAAACAGGTAAGTTTGTTGTTACCAATCATTGTGTTTTATTCAATCTCACCCAATTTAGCTGGCTAGATGTTATCAAGAGTACTAAAACCCTTTTCTACATGAGTCTTACAACTAAGGCTAAATACTTTAACTTAAACTTAAATACATGCTCGGATAGGCTGGTATCGGCCAGTATGGGTATCGGATCGGAAGTGCAAAAACCTGGATCGGGACATCTCTAGTTGCAGCCCTAGTATGAACTATATTTGTTCTCAACCCCCAAACTCCCCGACTCTTCATCCATGCCTGCCATAAGAAGTGTCTTTTGAAGTTGGGAGAGGCACTCTAGGAAGTTTTCTCTAGATTTGATTAAACTTTTAAGCCTCTTGATCCATCCATCCTCTGCTTCTCCGGGGTCGGGTCGCGGGGGTAGCAGCTTCAGTAGGGAGGCCCAGGCCTCCCTCTCTCCAGCCTCTTGGTCCAGCTCCTCCGGGGGAATCCCAAAGCGCTCCCAGGCCAGCCGAGAAACATAGTCCCTCCAGCGTGTCCTGGGTCTCCCCCTGGGCCTCCTCCCGGTGGGACGTGCGCGGAACACCTCACCAGGGAGACGTCCAGGAGGCATCCTAACCAGATGCCCGAGCTGCCTCAACTGGCTCCTCTCGACGTGGAGGAGCAGCGGCTCTACACTGCAAAAACAATCTAGAAATAAGTGAAGATTTCTTAAATTAAGTCAATTTAACCTTAATTTGAGTAGATAAATAAGAGGATTTGCCAATGGTATGAGTATTTTTACTCTTAAAATAAGATAACATAAAAATGCACTTGAAACAAGACAATGCAGTCGTTTTTTCTTATTTTAAATGTGAATTTTCTTGTTCCATTGGCAAAGTGTGTCACTTACTCCCTCAATCCAATAAAAAATGCAGTTAGTTTAAGACAAAAAGACTTATTAAGATTTTAATTTTTTGCAGTGTACTCTGAGTCCTCCCAGGATGACTGAGCTCCTCCCCCCCATCTCTAAGGGAGAGCCCAGCCACCCTACGGAGGAAACCCATTTCAGCCTCTCGATATAAATTTAATATTTTGATGGAGATGAAAAATCTGCTTCCTGGTGTGTTGAAGTACTAATAGTTTGTATTCAATAATCGAATTAAACGGTCTTAGTTTTTGGGAATATATAAGAATTATGCTCTAATTTGTAGTTGCCAACCAATCCATCGTTACTATAATATAATTTGACAAATCAGATCTTCTCGCCGCTGTTTTTCCTGTGCGGTGCGATTGCAAACGCAGATTAACGCGGCCGGAGCTAATAATAGCTTGGCTCCGTATTTTGACCGCACGACGTACGTGAGCGGAGACGGAGGATGTGGAATCTGGGGGTTCATCTCTGTATGAGTCGGTGGTTTTTATAGTTCTAATACACATGCAGTAAACTCAGGTAAATGTATGCAAGTGTTCCTGAATATCCGCCGTTTCTCTAGACGGATGTGTTCATCGCCATGGAGCTGATGGGAACATGTGCAGAGAAGCTGAAGAAGAGGATCCAGGGCCCCATCCCAGAGCGGATCCTGGGGAAGATGACAGTCGCAGTAAGTCACAGAGCCGCACTCGGGCTTCTGACACACCTTACTGGACCTAATCGTTGTTTGTGCTGCAGATAGTGAAAGCATTGCTGTACCTGAAAGAGAAACACGGCGTCATCCACCGCGACGTCAAACCTTCAAACATCCTCATCGACGCTAAAGGTCAGATCAAGCTGTGCGACTTTGGCATCAGCGGCCGCCTGGTGGATTCAAAGGCAAAGACTCGCAGTGCTGGCTGTGCTGCCTACATGGCGGTGAGGAAGCATTTCACACTCAGAGCAAAGCAGCGCTAACGCTGCGTTCACTAGGGCTGAAAACAATCGGATTAATGAAACAACGGTCGACTAATTCAGTCACTTAATGGTTAACTGGAGTATAGAGACTGTAGAACGTGTGTTTAGCTGACAGAGCAACCGGCTTAGAGCAGGAATTATACCAACATTCTGAAAAATTAAGTAAACATTTTGCAATCGAGATAAAAAAAAAACTTTTTCTTCTGCCAATAATCTATCCAGAACTCCTCAAGTGGAAAAGTTTTAGTTTCCCCTCGTTAAATTTAGTAAAGAGTCTTCTTGTGGGAATCTTTTTCAGTCCGATTATTAATAGATTAAACGACAAAATAAAATATTTGTGGTCTAAATTTGTTTTTTTTTAAATCCGTAAAATAAATCGGACTGTTTTACTACACATGTTTTCGAAGTTTATTACAATTTTATTTTTACCGAAATTGATTAATTATCCCCGAACACACCACCTTTCAATATTTATGACAAACATATGAGTGTTTTTTTGTGCAGCGCTGACGCACCTTGTGCTGTTTTCAGGGGCGGATCTATACCAAATGTGCCAGGGGGCCAGGCGGGGGCCAGCGTGTTTTAATGGGGGCACAGAAATAAAAGGAATAAAAAACAGGCCATGGGATTCAAATAGATTAATAATAAGCTGCATGGAGGAAAATTTCTATTCAATTAGGTTTATTTAAAATTCTTTGTGTTATCAGGTAAATATTAGTCAAACGGTTTATGAAAACCGTCCAAACCGTTCGGTTCGACTGTCTCGGTTCGGTTCGCGTGTGTTGCGTTCGGTTCAAGCGCTGCTCCTTTTTCTCATAGGCGAAGCGTTTACACTCCAGAGCAGAAGGTGGCGGTACTGCGACCAAAGCCAACCACCAGTAGTAAACAAGAAGAAGAAGCGAAGCAGAGTAGCCGGGTGTAGCAGAAAAAAATCAGTTGTTGTGGAGAATTGTGTGGGTATGGCGAGTGGGAAAGAACAGGAGTTGGAAGACGCGCCAGCAGCACTTTATAGGTCTGCTGTATGGGACCGCTTTGCATTTAGAGTGACCTACGATGACGGCGGAAAGAAAGCTGGGGATAAAAACAGTGTGCAAGCATTGTGCAACACGTTTTGTTTATGCTAACAGCAACATACAGGTGCTGGTCATAAAATTAGAATATCATGAAAAAGTAGATTGATTTCAGTAATTCCATTTAAAAAGTGAAACTTGTATATTATATTCATACATTACTTACAAACTCATATATTTCAGATGTTTATTTTGTTTAATTTTGATGATTACAAATGACAACAAATGAAAATCTCAAATTCATCATATCAGAAAATTAGAATATTGTGAAAAGGTTCAAAATTGATGGCCCCTGGTGCCACACTCTAATCAGCTAATTAACTCAAACCACCTGCAAAAGCCTTTAAATGGTCTTTCAGTCTAGTTCTATAGGCTACACAATCATGGGGAAGACTGCTGACTTGACAGTTGTCCAAAAGACGACCATCGACACCTTGCACAAGGAGGGCAAGACACAAAAGGTCATCGCTAAAGAGGCTGGCTGTTCACAGAGCTCAGTGTCCAAGCACATTAATAGAGAGGCGAAGGGAAGGAAAAGATGTGGTCGAAAAAAGTGTACAAGCAAGAGAGATAACCGCACCCTGGAGAGGATTGTGAAACAAAACCCATTCAAAAATGTGGGGGAGATTCACAAAGAGTGGACTGCAGCTGGAGTGAGTGCTTCAAGAACCACCACACACAGACGTATGAAAGACATGGGTTTCTGCTGTCGCATTCCTTGTGTCAAGCCACTCTTGAACCACAGACAGCGTCAGAAGCGTCTTGCCTGGGCTAAAGAGAAACAGGACTGGACTGCTGGTGAGTGGTCCAAAGTCATGTTCTCTGATGAAAGTAAATTTTGCATTTCCTTTGGAAATCAAGGTCCCAGAGTCTGGAGGAAAAGAAGAGAGGCACTTCATCCACGTTGCTTGAAGTCCAGTGTAAAGTTTCCACAGTCAGTGATGGTTTGGGGTGCCATGTCATCTGCTGGTGTTGGTCCATTGTGTTTTCTGAGGTCCAGGGTCAACGCAGCCACATACCAGGAAGTTTTAGAGCACTTCATGCTTCCTGCAGCTGACCAACTTTTTGGAGATGCAGATTTCATTTTCCAACAGGACTTGGCACCTGCACACAGTGCCAAAGCTACCAGTACCTGGTTGAAGGACCATGGTATCCCTGTTCTTAATTGGCCAGCAAACTCTCCTGACCTTAACCCCATAGAAAATCTATGGGGTATTGTGAAGAAGAAGATGCAATACACCAGACCCAACAATTCAGAAGAGCTAAAAGCCACTATTAGAGCAACCTGGGCTATCATAACACCTGAGCAGTGCCACAGACTGATCGACTCCATGCCACGCCGCATTGCTGCAGTAATACAGGCCAAAGGAGGCCCAACTAAATACTGAGTGCTGTACATGCTCATACTTTTCATGTTCATACTTTTCAGTTGGCCAACATTTCTATAAATCCTTTGTTTTTATTGGTCTTCGGTAATATTCTAATTTTCTGATATGATGAATTTGAGATTTTCATTTGTTGTCATTTGTAATCATCAAAATTAAACAAAATAAACATCTGAAATATATGAGTTTGTATGTAATGTATGAATATAATATACAAGTTTCACTTTTTAAATGGAATTACTGAAATCAATCTACTTTTTCATGATATTCTAATTTTATGACCAGCACCTGTATACCGAACCGAAAACCGTGACTACGAAACCGTGAACCGAACCGTGGATTTTGTGAACCGTTACACCACTAGTAAATATATATTAATAATTTAGGGTTTTTACATATTTTTGATATCATTTAAGTTAAAATTCTTAAATCTCTTCTTGAGACGGTGACATTCACACAGCTCCCGAACAAAACCGACGCGTTTATAGCTGCTATGTCCAGGGGATCGTAAAATACAGCTACATCAGTGCATTTTTTTTTTACAGAATACTTTCTAATCATCCAGGCCAACCCGTGCGTGCTAACAGTAGGCCAGGACTCTGGTCCAGCTGAGGTGAGGGTAGTGCTATCCAAACCTTGAACAAAATGTTCACTATCGTCTGATGGGTCGCTGATATGTCTGCGTTTTCCCGTGGGTGGGGGATCATCCTCTGACTCACTGTCAGAATCTAAACCGCTTCAACATTCGAAGCATTTCTAAAGCCTGTTTCGCTCTTAGATTTCTTCCCAAAGCCATTTTTTCCGTATTAGCCAAAGAGTTGTTGTTGCTAGGTAACATTACCGAACGTCAATCAACTGCAGGAAGAATTTACATCGCAACTAATCATACCCGCATACCCAAAGTCAATACCCGTTTATCCCTGTAGTTTTGTACAAAATATAAACTTTAATCTACCTCAACAGTTTTGTATCCTTTTAGTCATGTACAAATAAAAATGTTTTTGTTTAGTTTTTGGTGTTTTTTTTAAAGTGTATGGGGATCTGACCTTAAATATTTTTTTTGCACATGACTAAAGGGATAGGCGGCCGTTAAGGTAGTTTAAAGCTACAGTGTGTAATAATTAGAGGGATATACGGTCAAAAATGTAATATATTATACATAACTATGTTATTTATCATCATCTACGAGCTCAGCCTCTTAACCTTAATATTTGCGTTGCCTTAGAATTCGTTATTTATAATTACATAGGAGCGGGTCTCGCAGCCATGGAGGCAGACATCTTTGCGCTACGGCAGCGCAGAGGCAACAAACTAGCGATTGCAAGATCACCCATTACGCTCGAAAGTAACTACGGTGAGTTGAGAGAGATGAACTGAGACGGTACTGAAATCTATACCCTACACAGACTAATGAAATACTATCTGTAAAATTATCTATGTAAACAAACCTCATCACTTGAGAAGGTAGGTGATGCGGACGTCTGGGAAGACATTTTGTCCCATAACGCTCGCCGTACTGTTGGGGGGGAGAAGCGTTGGGGGTGAGATGTTCATGTTGCTGCAGTCTGCAGTCTGACCGCTAGATGTCGCTAAAAGTTACACACTGTAGCTTTAAAGTATATTTTTCTTACAAAACCAAAGGAATAAACACAAATCTTACATCTTGCGCATCTATATTGACTCTGGGTATGCTGGTCTGACGGGGTATGCTCATCTGACAGAACACTGTCAAAATGACAGCTGTGGGAGATCGAGGTAAAATTAACCATATTTATTTTTGACGTTTTTATTTTATTTAAAATACTGCGTGAAAATTAAGAAATATATAAACAGGAAAAGTTGGTTAACATGAGCAGCATGATTCATGTAAATAAAATTATTTCCCTTTGAAACCTCAGAACCGTCAAAATGACGGCGATGGGAGTTCTAGTGTTAACATGAGTCCTTTGTTTTGCTGTTTTTGCAGCCTGAGAGAATAGACCCTCCAGATCCCACCAAACCTGATTATGACATCCGAGCAGACGTGTGGAGTCTGGGCATTTCTCTGGTAAGTCGGCTACATGTGGCACCATCTAGTCCTTGTTTCCTGTCTTAATGTTGGCAGTGGGCTTTAGGCTGCCCTGCAAGGCTTTAAACCTGGGTTTAACCAGAGACTAAGCCATTCTCAAGCACATATCAAGGAGCTCATTTTGAGCCTGGATCCAGATTTATTGTTGATTCTGTTCATGGTGGAGAATCCTGCTTCACAGCAGCAGGTTGAGCCAAACATCCTCTAAATGTGCAGGGTCATCTTTGAGCACGCCATTTCACTTTTCTTTCACCAGTTCACCGCAGTTCTTCCAGCAGTCCACACTTTCTCTGCTCTCTTTTTCTCATGGTCTTCTCCTTCTTTCCCATCGCCCGGCTTGCCACAGGTTTGCCTGCTGTGTCTAAAAGTAGCAGCAGCAGCAACCCAGACTGACAGCTCATTGGCTCATTTGGATCACGTGCAGCCTGGAGCCGGACGCTCCCCAGGGCTTTACCGTATTAACAGGAGAAGAGGCGCAAATGAAATTAGACCCTGTTGTCGAACAACATGCAGTAATTTATAAATGTTTTAAATCAGGTTTGGTCCAGCTTAGCCAGCAGGTGGGTCCAGACCGGGACTGTGGTCCGCTAATCTGTGACCTCTGGTCTATAAAAGCTGCTTTATGCAAACTGCTGTTCTTTTTTTATATCAGCTCAGTTTCTTAATCGGCAAACCAGGTTCAAAACATGTATTTTCTAAATGGAAATAGAAGAACGTTTAAGTTTTGTAAAAAGATGGTTGAATCATTTTAAGTATCGCGTTACATGTTATTTAATTAAAGCCTTCTAAGAGATTATAATAACTGAGCTCTACCCAATTAGAACATGATTTGAATAAATCACCTTTACCTTTGATCAAAATGAATGTCTAATGGATTCAGCATCTCAAGCACCATCTTGGACAAAAGTCAGGGAATGATGTCTTCTGTTTGGTTTTTCTTTCTTAGGTGGAATTGGCCACAGGACAGTTTCCCTACAAGAACTGCAAGACAGACTTTGAGGTTCTGACCAAAGTGCTGCAGGAAGATCCTCCTGTTCTTCCTCTCAGCATGGGATTCTCTCTCGACTTTCAGTCCTTTGTCAAAGACTGGTGAGTTAAAATCATGTTAAAGACGCATATCACACTCGACCAACCTCTTGAAAGATCATCTCTTATCCTAACTCTTACCAATAGCTCTGTACCCCTCTGCTGCTCTTCCATACTTCCGCTTCTCTCTCTCTCTCTTTGCTCTCACTACTGAGTCTGACTCTGGATTTTTCCTCTGGAGAACTTATCATCATATTGTTGATAACTGTTTAATTGGGTCTACAAGCGTCTGCTAAATGCATAAACATTTAAATCTCTGCTCTTTGTGGTGCTGGCATCACCTTCTGTTGCAGACATTTTTAATCACGCTCCTTCCTTTAAATCAAACCCAGTCATGACAGGTCTGTCTCGGCTCACTTCAGAAGTATTGACGCCCCGATCTGGTTCTCCCCGCGCACTATTATCTCGTTCTCTTCGTTTTATCTCTGCCAGTGATCTTAATGCAGCGGGAAATGTCTCTGCTCCTTTCAAAGAGGAACAAAGTTTGGTTTTTTTTATAATTAAAAACGGATAAATTCTGATCCTAATTGTGGCCCAGATGGTTCTCATCAGATTGCATCACAAGCCTTGATTAGTTTGCAAATATGGAAAATAGGCATTAAAGAAGCCACAAAAATCCTGCCTGCACTTTTTCCTGTAGCCTTCTGGGGGGCAGTAGACCTGTAGAAGAAAGTACTCTACTCAGATTGGATCTAAATTGAACTGGATACAGAATGCAGCGTGAAATAAAAAGATGGTGAAAAACATGGTGGTAGTTATTATCCTGCACGATAACTTTTCTTTAGTATGAAAAACGATGCTGGTGGGAGTTTGGATGGTGACGGATGCAGGGCAATCCTGGAGGAAGATCTGCTGCTTTGGTCGAGGATCACCCTTAAACAGGGCTCCCGCAGATCCTTAAAAAGTCTTAAAATGCATTGAATTCTTCAATGCATTTTATTGGTATTATAATGTCTTAAATCAGTCTTTCATAGGTCTTAAAATTGTTACATAATAGGATTTTATTTTTGTAATCCATATAAAACAATAAAATAACTGACAATATTTTTCTTACATTTACCAAACCGCTCGCTGTAACCATTATTGGTTCCGTCCCGATAGCAGAACCAACAATATAGATGTTGCGGCCGGCCATGGGATGATGTGTCAGTAACTTTTTATCTGGACAACATAGTGAAGTTTTAAATTCAACGAAAAATTAGCTATCCATCCAAGATGGATGTATGTAGATGAAGGACCGTGGGATTCAAGGCAGTGGAGACATGTGCGAAGCATTAAACTCAAAGCTTAAAAATCAAGTTATGGAGAAGCAGCGGGTATTTCATCGTTCTGTTCCACCCTTGTCTCTGCAACGCCTCCACGGCATCTCTCACATCACCAACAGCGACAGTAGAACCAAATCTCAGGAACTAATGAAAGTAGGGGGTTGAGTAGGGAACAAAACAGTTGGTGAATTCAGTTCAGTGTTTATTGTTAAAAATATATCTGTTTTTTGTTTGTTTTTAGCTTTCTTCTTATATGGAAAGTGTTTCAAAATTTGAAACGCATCTACTGGGCCAGAAAGTACTGGTTTATGTTAAAATAAACATTTGGGGTAAATTTGTTGCTACCAGGTTTTTCCTGTGTTTATTGTCAGGTTGGTCTTAAATTTTTAATTTAAGTGGCATTAAAAAGTCTTGAATTTAACTTGCCTTATGCTGTAGGAACCCTGCTTAAAGCAGGACAGATCGTTTTTAAAGTATTAAAAGATATTTGGACGTTTGGCGGACATTTTATAACTCAATTGGCCAATAACCGGCCTACTTTTTAACCAGACCTACTTAAAAACACTTGAGTTTTTTTCCCCAGTTTTGAGTAGTTTTTGCAAATGACTTTTTATTATTTTATTTTTTTTATTCAGCTTTATTATCAATACACTGTCACAAGTACAGAGCAGCAAAATTAACTCTCTGAAATTAACCCATCCCCTTGGGGAGCAGTGGGCTGCCATTATGCGGCGCCCGGGGAGCAGTGTGGGGTTAAGGATGTGGTCGGAAAATTTTGTTTCTCTTGTTTCATATATTGATTTATGCTATTTACTTATTTTAAAAGTTTTCACTCAGCCTGTTTCACCTGTTATTAAATTGTTCATAGATGCTTCAACTGAACATGACTGAGTTTAAGGTATTTTAAAAAGAAGAATTAATGTGAGTTTGGATGCTTCACTTGGGTATTTTGCTCTAAATACAAGTTTTCTCAAATATTTTACCTTTTTCTTTCCACTTTGCAACAAAGCAGTACGTTGTGTAGGTCAATCATATAAGTTAGTGATGAAACATTCAAGGGGTGTGAATACTAACTAACTAACTTTTCCTATATAGATATTTATTCTATAATCCTGCAAAGAAGCATTTTGAAATGGTTTTGTTCTTAATCTGACATCTATGCATGTTTATCTACAGCCTCACAAAGGACCACAGAAAACGGCCAAAATACCACCAGCTGCTGGTAAGTGATGCTTTATTATTCCCATTATCTGGGGAATAAAAGCAGCCATGGTGGCGACTCACTCGTGCATTTTTTAGTTTTTTATATGTATTATTTTTTTTCTTCCTCTCGATTTAACAGGAGCACAGTTTCATCCGGCGCTACGAAGTGCTGGAGGTGGACGTGGCGGGCTGGTTTCAGACGGTGATGGAGCGAACAGAGTCGCCGCGCAGCAGCCAGTGTTACAGCCATCAACACATGCTCCACTCACTCCTCAGCAGGTAGCCTAGCCTCGGCCGTCCCGGTCTCAGCCGGGCCGAGCGCCGGACTAGACTAGCCGCTTCACGCAGGCTCGGCCCGCTCTAGTCCAGCTGCTCACAGCTACGCCCGGCTCCAGACCGGACCCGCCCGTCCGCCGGGGAACCCGACGAGCCCATAGAAAAAGCAAAGACTCAGCAGAGGACTCTAGAGGGACAGATGGAGCGATGGACAGCGATGTGCTAATGGATGGATAGACGGTCATTTTATTATTGAGTAATGTGTAGAGTTTGGATTAGCAGGAGAGGAAACGCACGCTAGCTAGCTTCACTCAGACCGCACCACACCGACCATCTCCTGTGTGTTTCCACATTTCCTCCACATTTAGCTCTTTTGTTTTCTGATTGTCGGTGGATCGATCAGCAGAGTAGTCACTACACACTGGAAAAAGACGTTTGCTAGGTTAGTGAAATCCTTTTCACACACAGACTGCAAGGAGAGCAAAATGAGAAATCTTCAGGTGTTTCTACTGTCATTCATTCTCAGGCTCTACTTTAGTCTAAATAATGTTTGTCTCTATTTAGTGAACAAATATCAGCTTTTATAACCATGTTTTCATCCTCCATCACTGCAGCTCTAACCCCCGTCATCTATATTTTCATCTATATACGGATTCTAGACTTTCTAACTTTCTATTCAATATATAATTACGCTAGATGTTTTTTTTTTTTATTGCATATTTGGGAAAAACAAAAAGTTGTACAAAAAAAAAATTAGTGTTGCATTGTAGCTTTTTAGACATATTTGTCTTTGGTTTTTGCAACACGTTTATCAGAATGTTCTTTAGAGAAGGATGAGGGCGGTTGGATTCTGGGAAGTTTGTTTAGGAATATAAGAGAAGGCAAACAGGAGAGATGGAGTTAAAACGGACGGTAAGGCAGGGAGCGCGGATTATATCTTCTTCCAAACATCAGTCTGTTCGTCTACCTCTTCCCCTTTTTGTTCAGTCTGCCTCAGCTGTTGAGCAAGGCGTAGATTTATCAGACCAAAGGCTGCGTGCAGTTTGATGACGGGAGCGTAGGAGACGGTGCAGCAAGTTTTAGGTGTTAGGAATTAAACCAGTAAGTTGTCTTTATAGAGCCGCTGGGAGGGAATGTCAATCTAGGAATCTGGTTTCCAGCCAAAGTCCCAATTCTGCAATATCATGTCCCAAAAAAAAAAAAAAAAAGAGTAATATTTGAACCTTTTTTAAAAGAGAATCTGAGTCGTTAGCATTTTTCTTCATCAGATTCAGAAAAAGAAATGTCTCTTAACGTGCTAGGATGTTAGTCATGTATTCCACTTTTTAATCTAATGAAAGGGATGTTGTAAAAATTATATTTATATATAGTTATATAAAAAAGCATATTTAAGTCTTTATCGTTGACAGGATACAGTTTGCGATATCAAAAAAGCACCACGGCACAAAAAACAAAAAAAGTCCCATGACATTCAGGGAAGGTTTGATAAGGAGGAAACCGAATCCAAAATAACACTTATTGTTTTGAGAGCAGGCTGCACAGGAATTTTCCGTCATCCTTGAGTCTTTTCTTGCTGGCTCCATGTGGCGAGTCCAATATTCCGTATTAGTTTGGCTCTTCCGCCTTGAAGCGAGCGGCACATCCAAGATATTATCCCATCTCAACTTTGAGTTCAACCACCGCAGCCAGCCTGCGTTCAATCGCACCTAGCATACGGCTAAGCTCCCGATCTCGCTCATTCACAGCCTTTGTGAGGGCGTGAACCGCAACCGGCAGCCTGATCAATGCCCAAATTGCCGCCGACATCCTCCGTATTTGTAGATACATAAGGTTCCCTCCAAATCCAAACATACTTCTCCGACATCCTGCACTGACATTGTAAAACACACCATCCTCCAAGCCTTCCAGGAGTCCATGGTGTATCCCACGAAGTTTGTCCCGGCAGGACAGGACGGCTCCCCTTTTCCCTTTCTTCCAGTTGAGAAAATTGGATCAATTGCAGTGAGAGACCAGCTGAGCAGATCCACTGTTTGAGTTTGGGTGATATGAAGAGAGTGATCAGAAAAGACGAGACACAGCAAAGCGGGGAAGGAGCAGAGTCAGACTCAGAACAGAAGTGGAAATATGTAAAACTAATCCTGATGTCACGTTGGGAGTTTTAACGAACAGATTCAGCCGATTTTTAGAAGAATGAACCCGAATAGTTTCTGTGAAAAAGTAGACGAATAAAAAACCTGAAGATTTGACTAATATTTGTAAAAAAAAACAGATGCCGGTTTAGTATTATGAATTGTAAACTTCAATGTTCTTTCAAGAGAATGTCGGTTCTTACCTTAAGTCCTAAAGTAGAAAAATGAGTTTGCGAAACAATCTTTGGCCCCCAGAATTTTTATTTGGACCTTCCTGACGATGAGGAATGTTTAGAACACCGCAAAATATTTTTTTTCTTTTAAAAAAATTCGATTTTTCTTGAATTGAGGAGGTAAGTGAGCCAATGGAAGAAGAGAATGTACATTTAGAATGAGAAAAAACAATTGCCTTGTCTTATTTCAAGTGCATATTATCCAATTATCTAATTTTAAGAGTAAAAAAACTCAATTGGCAAATTTGCAAAACAATCTTTGGCCCCCAGAATTTTTATTTTGACCTTCCTGACCAGGAGGAATGTTTAGAATGAAGTAACGGCAAAGAGTTGAGTGAAGAACGACAGATGTTGGTGAAGGAATATCTAGTAGAGCAGATCTGCCACATCCAAAGCTTAGATGTTATTCTAGAGTCCAGCTTTTTGCTCTCGCCAAACCAAAACACAGCTAGATGAGGAGCTAAGGAGTGGCAAAGGCAGACAGGAGGATGTCGGGTGTTGGTGAGGAAGGGGAACGTCGTCAAGATGAGTGGAAATTAAAGCGACAGGAGCATGAGACAAGAATGAGGAGCGAGGCGAGAGGAACGATGCTGAGTGTAAAAGAAAGTGAGACGAGATAAAAGATGGTTAGACAAACTGAGGAAGGTTTGCAGGATGTGCTGCAAATGATTGGGGTAGAATAGCGCTGAGCGCCGAGGTTAGATGGTTTCTGTAAAAAGCTTTCGTGCTGCTGCACCAACTGTACGTGTTTAGCTAGCATGTCGTTTACCGTTCCGTTCAGCCAGGCTGCATTATTTATTGACGTGCTGCTACTTTTGATCGCTTTAGACGCTGCTGTCACTTCTTTTCCCCAAAGAACAAAAACTTTAATCTTTTTTTTTTCTTCTTTTAAATCCAAATATATAATCATGCAATGTCGACAAGTCTTACCAAATACAAAACAGCAAGTCTGCAGAGAGCCGAGTGAAGTGAGAGATGGTGAAAGGAAGTGCTGAAAAAGAGCTAATATTCCGTGTAAAGGCACATCTCACCTTATTTCCTTTGTACTACACCACACTACATTCTGTACAGTGTAAATACAGTTAGAGGGGAAGTTTGTCTGTCAAGATGCTTCTAGTCCATCCAGCACTCGGTCCATCCTTCCATCCCTCCGTCTGTCCACACCAAAGGTGAACACAACTCAACTATTGTGCAAGAGCAGAGCTTTTATGTCTGCGCTCAACTACATGTGAACTCTCTAGCTAGTGGGAAGGAATGTTGTGTGTCTGAGAGGATGGGGGTACGCTGTATTATAGCAGCGCTGTGTACGTGTCATACAACGTGCAGGGGGGAGGCTGGTGCACTTACAGCAGGGGGCCCCGGCTTTCATCCATCTGCTCAGTAAGTTAGCATTTTACCTGCGGCAGATTCCCCAGGCTCTTTCAGTGTGCAGGTGCAGCCGGACAAAACTAGCATCACGCGGCTGATGAAACGTTAAGTCAGAATATAGAATGGAGGTAAAACCAGGATATACTGTCCTCACAATTCTCGACTCATTGACTCTTCAGCAATCCCTCACACTAAGCATGTTTGTAGCGACAGAGGAGAGGAAAAACTCCCTTTGAACAGGAAGAAACCTCCAGCAGAACCAGGCTCTTTCAGTGTGCAGGTTCAGCCGGACAAAACTAGCATCACGCGGCTAATGAAACGTTAAGTCAGAATATAGAATGGAGGTAAAACCGGGATATACTGTCCTCACAATTAAATTATACTTCAGTTTATTTCTATAGCGCCAATTCACAACACGTCATCTCAAGGCACTTTCCAGTTCACCAGATCATCCAGTCAGATTGGTTCAAAGTTTTCTTTCTAAGGAAAACCAGCTGATTGCATCGACTCATTGACTCTTCAGCAATCTGTCCAACTAAGCATGCTTGTAGCGACAGTGGAGAGGAAAAACTCCCTTTGAACAGGAAGAAACCTCCAGCAGAATCGGTGTGAGCTGCCATCTGCTGAGGCCGACTGGGGTTCAAGGAGACAGAAGCAGACATAGAAAAAGAAGCATAGATACAAAAGGCAACCTTAAAAGGCGGCCCCGTCCAGGAAACACACAGCCAGGCAGACGAGCTCCGAGCCAGCTCCCATGTCAGAGGATGAAGAGAGCACATCCAGTTAGTCACAGTCAGAGAAACAGGACTACACTGGAAAACAGGCCAAGCTCCAACATCTAGAAACAAAGATGTTGATTATTCACAATTATTCAGATGAATTAATTCCACCCTTAAAACACGTAGAAGCAGAGATACAAAAGGCAACTGTAGATAAGAGTATAATGAAGAAAAATAACCAGAAGGGGGCCCTATGTCCTCCAGCAGTCTAAGCCTATAGCAGCAGAACTATAGAGTTAGCTCAGGATAACCTGAGCCACTCTAACTAGAAGCTTTATCAAAAAGGAAAGTTTTAAGCCTAGCCTTAAAAGTAGACAGGGTGTCTGCCTCACGGACTAAAACTGGTAGTTGGTTCCACAGGAGAGGAGCCTGAGAACTAAAAGATCTGCCTCCCATTCTACTTTTAGAAATTCTGTTAGATCTGTGAAGTCTCAACTCCTTTTTTTATTCTTGGCTTTGGTTGTTAGTCTTTTGGAGCTGCATGGTAAAAACTAAACGAAACCAGAAGTTAATTTAGTTTTTACCTTGCTTTACCATAGTTTAGTTGTTTCCGTTCTTCTGAGCAGGTGCGATGTCGACCCGGGTTCCGCTTGCTGCGTATTTTAAGTGGCAGATTTAGCTCAGACTGGGCCTCCTTCATCCGGCGGCAGGGTTCTCTGCTCCGTCGTGGCTCCTCAGCATCTCTGCTGCCACCTGTTGTACATAAACCCAGATCTGGTGCTGCTGTCTGGCTTTTTCCCAGCAAAGCCTGGCAGTTTTCACACGATGCTGCTGAGGGAGACTTCTCTCTCTCTCTCAGCTACAACTCCTGCTGCTGATTTTCCCGTCTATTTCTTCTAAACGCACACTTATAATAGCAAACACTCCATCCTGCTGTTTGTGCCCCCTGCTCACTGATTGGACGGCGGCTCATCTGTAACACCTGACCCGATCGGGGTGAGTGAGGGGAAAATGAAGCTGGGATAATCTATGTGCACCAAATGTATAAAGCTCTCCCATCCTACACAGTGAAGCTTTATGTATATTAGCTTGCCATGTGAGTAGAAGCAGGTAGCCCACAGCGTTGACCTGTGCTGTGCTTTGGCACAGAGTGTGCGTTGGTGTGTGTGTCCTTGTCCATCTGTACGTAAACCAAATATCATGTTCACTATGCAGTCATTCAAACCACATCAGCTTGCTTCCTGTAAACGCAGAGACGGCGAGTCGCTGAAAGGTGCTGCCCTCTTCAACATGGCCGCCCCTCACACATCACAGCAGAGCAAGAGATGTGTTTTGAATGAGCTGATGTATAATTAAGGATTGTATTTTGGGGGGGTGGGGGGGTACACATCAGTGCTGTATATCAGTTCCTTGTCATGGTTGCCGCTGTAACTGCCATTGTTTTGTTTCCTGCTTTTTGATTTTTGTTTTTTTGTTTGTTTTTTTCCAAGACGATGGCCGGTTGGGACGGGATGCACAAAACTTTAACCTTATTTATGATTTTTACACGTACACTATGTGTTCTATTTTCTTTCATTTTCTTTGTATTTTAAAAATGTTTTGCCATTGTTAAGAAAAGACACTTGTTTGCTTTATCCCCCCTCAAGTTCTGTCAATATGCTGATCAGTAGTGATGGGTCCAGCAACAATTCTATTCAGTTTTTCTATAGCGCCAATTCACAACAGGATTACACTGAAAAACAGGCCGAAACAAGGGTGACAAAAAGCAGAGAGAGCAGAACGTTACA